AAACGATTGATGATCATTTAACTAAAGGTTGCATTCTTTAATTAACAAAAGTATGTAAAATTAGACTCAAAAATCTTTAGCGCTAAAAACTCTACAATTTAAAGCTGACGATGGCTATATAAATAACCTTTTTGTTTCGAATAGAACAAACAGCCTTGGGATAGCCGTGACCCCACTTTAATAAGAGCTATAACTGCTCAATGTCGTACGTAGCAAGTTCAAGTAGAAAATCGATCCAGGTAGTCGGGCTGCCCCCCTGACATTGGTATCCCTTTCTGTGGCAAGTTTAGTTAAGATATGCGGTTAGCCTGTTCATTTATTTTATCGTTTACATAACGAAAGGCTGCTTTAACGTAAATATTAATATTAGGTCTCTTTGCTTAAGACATGTTAGAATTATTTTGTCTATATATAATTGTTGTATATAATTTTAGTATTGTCTAGCATATATTTGTCATATTATTTCTCTTACCATATATTTCAAGCTTAAAAAAAGTTTTGTTATTAGTACAAAATAAGCACGCACATTTTTTTAACATTTCTTACACGTGCCGCACTCTTTATACCCACTTTGAAATTGTTTCCACTAAATTTTAAATTGTTTTCGAAAATAGATGAATAACAAAAGTTATGGCTAAATCTTAACGTGTATGTATAGATGAAATTAGAGTAATCTATCTAAATGATGAGGACTCTGTCGGTTAAATTATATTATTAGCATGATCGCTAAAACTTTTTATAAAACGCTGACGTATCTTAATATATATAATTCTCCTGTACGTTTGTTAGTCACATAACTCCTCCTAAAGCGACTAGCTATCAGCAGATAGCCTAATTCGTCTGTTGTAGTCTTTAACCAATAAACATGGCCCCTGATTTATAAAGGTGCGAGAAGAACAAGAAGCTCAATATTGTTTAGGTATTTACTACTGATTAATATGTTTCGCTGTGTTACCATAGTTAAATATTTACTAGTACGTAAAAAATATGTTCAGTTATTCTTGAGCATTCAAGACAGCGAATGAGCGATATAATTTATATTAGGACTAGCAATACCCGCGGCTTTGCCCGCGTTCAAACTTCCGACCGCTAACAAAATTTACAGAAATATGATAAAATGTCGAACTGGTCTACAAAGCTATATGACCACATTTCACACTTTGCAAAACATTTACAGCAACTAAGCGTGCAATTGAGTTGATAACAAAAACCAATACCACCGTCGAGCTCAAACAGTCCGTTGCAAAGCGGATGGCTGCTTGTTAACTATCTCAACTTTGCTACTCATTTAATTTATTTTAACTAGTGTTTCCCTGCTGTTTGCACTGCTGACTTTTAAATTTACTTACATCGAAAGAAAATATGAAACCCTAATGCATCACTGTCAGTTCGTTTTCCGGTTTGTTCGTCTGTTAAAGCTTTCTTCTCATATTTTGACGAAAAACTTAAATTTTATCACATGTATAACAAGCCTAATTATTAATAAAGAATCATAAAATCGATTCACAATTGGGGAAAACATAGTACAGGCGTATCGTAAGCATTTTGTACCAAAAGGCTTAAGAGGCTGGAATTTCTTCAAATTATAAAAAAATACATTGCTTTAATCTAAGACATCATAATAACAATATGTACCTGCAAAAGGCATAAATTCTTAGTAAAATTATCTAACGTTTCATTTGAATAAACTTGTTTTAAAAGTTTCAAATATATCACATTCGATGCGGTTTTTTTTCATTTGAAAGCCAGTTTCCGTGCGATGGTACTTAGCTATGTATGGTTAATATCGGTCCAGCATTGTAAGAGTATCAGCTCTTTTCCAAAATGATGTGAAGCATTTTGGCGTATGATTACTCGATTAAGTGCTTCACGCGTGCCAGTGTAATCGTTAAATGACAATTAATTTGCGTAGGGTTTTTTTTTATTACCTACAGCGATAGGACCTTACCCGCCAGTGGCGCTAACTATTTTCACCAGAAGCAATAGCCCTTATTAGATGTGTTTTTTCCAAATTCCAACATCCTTTACTTTTCAAATATATCGAGGGTGAACTGTAAAACATCGTTTTGTCTTAGCCTTCTCTACTCAAATAAATAAAACAGTATAAAATTCAATGTATCGTTCTGAAAAGTTCATCTTTATTTAAAAGAAAAATGCAATATTTATCCACTTTAATTTATCTTGATTGCGGATAAAACTGTAGGGCGGGGAGCTTTTATAGCCGACCCAGATAGTTAAGGGGTAAATAACAGGTATTTTCGAACTGTCCATAGGGAATTGTGCTGCTCGTTTCAATAATAACATTCGGATACGATATCGTTTATAACTTCCATATATTTTAAATTGAGGTGTAGTTACTTATTAAATTAATTATATTTTTACACTTTGTATGAAAGCCTAAATTTTTTTGATCCATTGTTGATGGTGGCTATGGTATATTTACGAAACTAAAACGGGATATTACTAACAATATTAGTGACATTGCTTTATAATTAATATATCCCATGATTAAAATATTTAAATTTTCAGTAGTCTTCATTTTTTTCTTATGGAGTAGATAAAGCATAGTGGTCTCTTATTCTGTTTTTCATTGAAAATAACATCTGAATTATAACTTCTCTTTAGCATCCATATTACCCATACCATCATTGGATCAAAATTAACGCGCTTAAACAAACAATACAAATAATCCCTTCCGCTTATTAATATTAGTACAAATAAGGCCACATAGCACTAATTTATAAAATAAAATAATACTAGAATTGAAAGCTGTAATTTCAATACTTTTTGAAACAAAATAAAATAAAAACATCACATAGTTTCGAATCATTGCCTCAATACGCTATTCTAACTCGAGCTAGATTTATTTATCACTATATAAAATATTGCTTAGCTTGCCGTTTGAGAAAAGTATTTCAAATCGTAGAATACGCTCAGAGTTCCACTTAGAGTTCAGGAATATTTTACGCCGTAAAACTTCAAGTTCCCTGGTGCCATTTATGTTCTTGTATAAAATATAAAAAGTTATTTACTTTCATAAAGGTCTTAATAATTCATAAAACCGTATTACTTATACGTACAAAAAATATTATAAAGATATACTTATTTATTGGTTGTTATTAAGGTTTATGAACATTTTCGTCCTTTTCATGCTCATTACTTTGTCCGTTTCCCGTAAGATTGCTTTTAACTATAATTTGTCTTAAAATTCTGATTAATTCTAGTATGATTAATGGAATCGAACCTACTATCTTACACAGTAAGCAGTACAAATGCATACCGTATCAATTAATGTATACACTTATTGCAGATTGTCTTATTACCTATCCCTACTTAATTTAATATCAAAATCAAGATTCATTATTTCTCGGGAATTCAAAACAGTACATTAAATCTTTTAATATACCTAATAAAATTGTAACTAAGCCAGATCTGTACATTAGATATTTATTCTTCTTCTTCTAAATTTAATCTTATTGAAATAAGCATTCATATCGATACAGAGGCCGAATCTATGATTTTTAGAATTTTTGTCTGTCTGTCTGTTACCGTATCACAGAAAAATCACTGGAGGAATTTTGATAAAATTTGGTATGGTGATAGCAGATTATACGGGTCAACATATAGGATACTTTTTACCGCGGGAAAATGTCTCATTTCTGAGAAAATATACAAAATTGCAATGTAAGAGTATACTAATATGTAAAATCTAAGAATTTGGTTTTTGGTCATCTGAACGCGGGCGGAGCCACGGGAAATGCTAGATACTAATATTTAAAATCTCATTTAAAAGCTTTTTTACCACTCTACCTAAGCGACATTAGCTATTCAGCCTTTTGAAGTAAATGTGCATAGTAATTTATCATTTCTTTTTTTCCAGGTACGTGAATGGGTGAATAAATGAAATAAGCGGTGTCACGCTATCGTTTAGCATATAGGTAAGTTTTGAGAGACTGAATGTGATTCAAATGGAATCTACTTACAAAGAAAATAATAATAATATCAGCAAACGGAATGTTATATAAATTATAGCTTAATAAATCTATACCACGGGAACCGTACATTTTTCTGGGATAAAAAGTAGCCTATGTGTTATTCTGATGAATGACTAGTATTATTGTAAAATTTCATTAAAATCCATTCAGTAGTTTTTGCGTGAAAGAGTAAAAATCATCCATACATCTATACATCTAGACATCCATACATCCTCACAAACTTTCGTGTTATAATATTAGTATTATTAGTATTAAGTATTATTTTTACTTACAAATATTTTATAATCCTCCTATTTAGTCTTAAGCTTTCTCCCAAAACTAGACCGCAAGAAAAACAATGTCTAACAAGCAGAGTTGGCAACCTTCCATATTAAAATGAAGCAAAACATAGTGTCGCTATTATTTTTGAAATTTTGCTTAGTATTGATGGGTATGTGGAATATTTAACCATACTCTATGAGTAAATTCAGCAATGTACGATGCTTTCATTTAGAAACCTTTTATAAGAAAGATTCTAAGCTGATATAACAGATGCCTAAGTCTCGGCTTACAAAGTCGCTTGTGAAAGCTGTTGTCATACTTTTTTATGTCATTTTGATAGCTTTCTTGGAAATGTAATATAGGAATGAAAAAGTAACAATTAACAAACAAGTTTAACAAACTTTTCTGTACAAATCTTCTAAAAAAATGTTACTTTTATTAAATTATTCTGCGTTGTCTAAACTTACGTATGATAAATCTTAAGTTATGTACATATATATTGTAAGTAAAAAATCCTAACACTATAAGTTATAATGTTTATTAAAGGCATTCTAAGCGTTACACACAATAGTCATTTGCTTTTTTAATTGTCTGTTTGTGTAAAGAAAAATTCAACTTCAATTTTTTCAATTACCGGGCAATTGTTAAAATAAATAGGAAATCTGCTATAAATAGATTTTATTGTCAAACGAATAAGTTCGTGTTAAAAACATTTTTATATAAAATTAAATTGATACCGTTTTAGGCATTGGCTTGAATCCAAGGAGTGTAACGACTGACACGTGTATTGACAGCAGGGTAATATGGCTCCGCGCATCTAAATCCCCAAGACGTGATCCCAACTACAACACCATTGTGTAAAAGTGGGCCTCCGCCGTCTCCGTTGCATTGGCCACGACCACCCACACCCAGCCAGCCGGAGCAAACCATATTATTAGTAACATTGGACCCCAAATTCCCATATATACTCATACACGTGCTTAGGTTTATTGTCCAAACAGCAACATGGCGCAATTGCTCAGACTTGCTCCCACCGTACTGAAAATTGTTAACATAAAGTAAGTTTTATTTAATCGTACGTTACATATAAATATATTTTCTTTATAATTTTATAAACTTGTTAGGGTTCTGTAACCAAAAGCACTAAAACCTTATAATTACGTTATGCGTGTCTCTCTGTTCATATTTTGCAGTCATTCTACTCGGAGACTATTAATATTTTATCGCTGAAATGTGGTTAGTTTCATATAAGCCACATATAGTTAAATTAAAAAACATAGTTGCTGCACCCCATACAATATCTAAATGCGAGGATAAAATAATAGCGGACAAAAGAGATAAAAATAGATAGATGTTAAAAATCAAGATTTCTTTTTAAATTTAAGTTAACAGTTATAAAGTTCGCTTCAAAAGTTATTAACATTTTGTTCAAAAACTTATGCGTGTATATTCAATATTTTTTTAAATTTAAAAACGAAACATAAATTTGACTATACGGAACCGAACTTGTCCAAACATTTTAAATAAAAACTGAATAATAATAATATAATAATGAACATACTGAAGTTGTGCCCCATCCAACGGAAATTACAGGCTCATTGTCAAACAATTGGTAATTTGATCCCGCGATGGTTCCTGCGCGAATTATACCGCTGAAGACAATAACTGAACTAGCTCTAATGATAGCAATATCGTTGTCAAAATTTCGCTGATTGTAGGAGGGGTGAATAATACTTTGGCCAACATTATACAATGATCCTCCTCTATTACCCCAGCTAGAACCTACACGAATAAGCCATCTGCTAGGCAGGTCTCCACTGAAAAAATATGTTGAATGTTTTAAATTATATGTTTAAATTAAATTTTTCATATTATGTATGTATATTATCTTAACTGCCTCGGTGGTCTAGTGGTTAGTATGTCTGGTTGTAGATCCGGTGGTATCGGGATCGAGTCCCGGATCGAGACAAGTTGAGTTATTGCGTTTTTCCGTTAACTCCTTTGCAGATCAACTCCTGCCGTCAGACTTGTGTATTCATATGAGCTGTATTAAGATCTTTTCGAGCTTTATGAGCAGACTTCGATAAAGTTGATTTGGCTCATTGTAAAACCGTTTTTTTTTCAAAAGTGACCGTATTAAAAATTGATGAATTTATGGTTATAATAATCAAAACTCTCATTTGCTTAATCAAAAACTATCAAATTTTGCTGTTCTAAGGAATAACTCCATGTTAAAATAAATGAAATACGAGTTATTAAATTTATGAAAATGAAACAAAGACTACGGTTAGGAACCTATGAACACACTTGAGCAAAACCAGGTTCACCCTGGTTGTAAAATATAAAATTAGATACTTACTCCAAACAGCTTGCAGATGTCAAAATGGATCTAGATGTAAGGATTGTGCCAGCACAAAATTGAGAATACTGAATCAGATTGTTTGTCCGAAGAAGTGAAGTTACATATGGATATGACCCGATAGTTGTAATAGAACCACCCACAATTCTTGATGAAGCGTCAGCTACAATAAATTATTTAATAAAAACGCATGAACTTTAAAATCATCTGGTTTTTAACTTAGGAAGTGTAATAATTTGAATGAATATTGTTACATTTTTGCTTTACTAAATTAATATCATAGTTATAAATTTTACTTACATTTTACTACAGCAAGGCCCAGGGCCAAAAAAGAAAAAGCTGTGGCAAGCCACATTTTCTTCATAGACTTTGACCAAATAATATCATGTAACAAATGATAATATATTTATACTAAGTCTTTAATTGTAAAGCACTTCACAGGAATCGATAAAATATCTACTTGTATGAGTCATAAACATCAAGCATGTCTAAACTAGGGAATGTAAAAAAATAATAAAATGTATCCAGTAGCAGCCAGAAATAATTTCATACTACAATCTTATCTAATTCTATAGTTTATTTTCTAGATATAAATGAAAAGTACTTTTTTATTTTATTATTTTAGATCCTTTAGAAAAACGAGGCATGAATTTGATTGCGTATTATTCAAACAAAAAATTAAATTATTAATTAAAATAAACCCCAACACAATAACCTATTTATCGAGGCTATTTTAATGAACCTAAACATGATATATCTGCAGTATTTTTGTGAGGAGTACTCAACTCCTTCTTGTAGATACCAGGTGACGCTGCAGCATCAGGTCAAGGTTACCATACCGTTGCAATGTCATTGAAGTAACGGAATGTTAAGTTTCGAATGGATTAGATCTGTGGCTTTGTTCATATTTTTACCGTATACAGAGGAGCTGATAGCCTGCAAACGGCTGACGGGATTTTCTTGATTTATAGCTAAGAACACTCTCGATTAAATTAAATTTCAAACAAAAAAAAATCAGTCGTATGGGCGCTAAGATGCCACAGACAAACACACACAGATACACACGTTAAACTTATAACACCCTCTTTTTTATGTCGGGTGTGAATAATATATTCTTAAGTGTCACTTCACAATTACTTTTGAAAATTTATTTAGCTTTTTTTTTTTGTAAAGCTTGGTTAATAAGTTATTTTTTTATTACATTAATTAATCGTTAATTTAAAAATAATTGTGCTAACATTTATATTATTATTTATTTACATCCTTATAAAGTACATAATATATACTACACAAAGTATAGTAGAACAGTATCGGCTTCCAGATAGTAAACGTTGGGTTACGAAATGATGAAAATATGTACATATGTACATACATACATACAGTTTTTCTAATATAAGGAACCGTCCAGTAGAGTTACCTGTTCAAATTTTGCAAAATATATTAATTAGGGATTAGGACACAATTATATGATTTTAATTTAATTACAATATTTATTATTTTATTTATTAATATATTTATAAAACACTTGAATCTACAAAAAATAATCGCTTTATAGCAATGCTTTATCACAGCACTATTCAGGAGTACTCTTGAAATTATCAATAACTGAGAACCTTAAGTGAACTGTTTATGATAGATTTCTAAGAATGTTATTTTATCTATATTCTATATTTATATTTGTGATATATAATAAAATTGTAACTAAGCCAAATCTGTATATTAAATATTTATTCTTATTGAAATAGACATTATTATCGATACAGAGGCCGAATCTATAGTTTTCAGAATATTTGTCTGTCTGTCTATCTGCTACCGCATCATGCAAAAACCACTGGAGGGATTTTGATGAAATTTGGTATGATGATAGCTTGTTATCCAGGTCAACATATAGGATACTTTTTACTGCGGGAAAATATCTCATCTCTGAGAAAAAATACAAAACCTGCAATGTAAGAGTATATACTAATATGTTAAACCTAAGAATCTGGTTTTTGGTCATTTAAACGCGGGCGAAGCCTCGGGCTATGCTAGTTTCAAAATAAATTTAACCTGTAATATGCAATGACAACTTTTTGATTTTGACATCATCATTTCGCCATGCGCTGGCGTTACTAATGCGATACTTACTACTTTTAGATTATTTAATTGACGTTTGACTATTTTATTATGACACATGGTGAACCGAGTATAGAAAATACAAAAGTATAGTATGATTGCGATTGGCCCATAGCCTCAACGGATATAATGACATCACAACCAATCACAAGTCGTTTTATTTCGTTCAAAAATTTAATAACTTTTTTATTAATAATTACTAAAAAAATTAGATTTTTTATTAAAAATATATTTAAATGTATTATTCTTTCATTTGTATATAAATTTGTGGCAAAAAATAATGCAAGTTCTCTCTATATGCATCATGTGATTTAATTATGTCAATTGCAAAGAGCTATCGTCCATTGGTCTATGTAACAAAGTGATAAGAAAGTTACTAAAAAATTGTATATTTATATGTTAATCGCTTTTATTTATCATAAATTGCATTGAAAAAATATATAAAATCAGATAAAATAATGTTTGCTGCGTAGCAATACAGCCTTATCAAATTATGCCAGTAACCAAATAATAAACAATTTGTATCATAAACATAATAAGAACTATTTTATTACATAATAAATACATAATAATAATAAAAAAAATAATTAATGAAGTGGTGTTCCATGCGGGCTGCTCCTGGCACTACTCTGATAGCAGCCGTTGGAGCAACCGTTGGATCTGCCGTTGGGGCGTCGTGGTTGAATGCGTAAGTGATCCTGCGATACCCTATTAAGACGAGAGAGGATTTGTTGGGTTTTAGTGGGTATTACTGGTTTTTCTAGCCGGTGAGTCCTACATAACCACCTGTATGTATACAGGTGGTATGCGTAAATGCACTTCCCAACATAAAAAAGTTAGTAGTAGTAGTAGTTAGTTAGTAGTTTGGAAGTACCTGACTAAAGCTTTGATAGTAAGTATTTTTTTCCAAAATCAAGATAAGCTCCGAAAAAAATAACATTAAACATTGAATTAGATGAAACTATAATAACACAAGAAACACATTATCGAGACAAAAAAATCTCATTTCAGTGCCCATATACTGTTAGTTCTGTATACACATCCAGATATTTTCACAAAATTTCAACAGTTATAATATTAATAGATAATGTCTGATGATTTTCACTATGTGCGAAGTCGAGGTAACTTCTGATACAGTGGAATACAATGTCTTTATTGAATCTTTAGTCTAATTGAATTTATATCTCAATATCATCAATAGCTGTGAACAAATTACGTAAATCTATCTACGTCTATTTTCTCTCTCTCTTTATTATAAATTTTTTTTTTACTTTTAAGTGCTTTTTTTGAAGTCGGTTTTAATTTTTTTTTGTTAAAAAGTTTTTATTTTTCCCTTTTTAGTGTAGACATAGTAGTAGAAAAGTAAGAAGAAAGTATTTTAATAAAATATTCGCTTAAACCGTTTAAGTTACTTTGATGCCAATTTTTATACGAAGACTTACAAACTAAAATTGGCTTTCATTAATAGCACTAAAAATTCTAGCTCTAAAATCCGATTCTAAAGTGTTAGGCTTGTCAAAGCAAACAAAATAAGCCCAAACTCAATGTATCTACTATTAGCCGTTGAAGAGTTCCACCTATCCACCTTCTGGCCTTACCATCAGATCAGGTCAACAATACCGAACCACTGCACTATCAACGGAAATAGAAACACTTGCAAAGTTCCAAGTCAATATGACAATAATTAGAAGTAGGTTAAATTCAACATTTCCTATTTTTTCACCCTTAGGGGTGGTATTTTTGTTTGAAATTTAATTGGGACCAATCTAGAAGTATACACTTTGAAACAAAACAAAAATCGGTTAATATTTTGAATATGAGAATTGAAAACCTCCTCCTTTTTTGACCTCCTCCTTGACGAAGAATTAGCATTTTATATATACGTATATTAACAGAAACAGCAAAAAGAAAAACGATAAACTACTTACAGCGGTCCAATTTTTTTTTTTAATTTAACACTTTGAACTTAATTAACCATTTATTTTTGTTTATTTAAAATAGCTATTACCTGCACGGTATAATTCATTCTATATAGAGTTAATAATCCCTCGGGTAATATATTGAGTAATTGGTGAATAATATCTTAGTTATTAGTTGATAACATGATAACAGCCTTTCTTATCCAAGTGAATTAATGTGACAATTTTTTTTAATAGTTTTGAATTGGACTGCTTTAATTAAATTCAGACTTGGTGTTTATTTAACTCTTTGTTATTTTATTGTACTTCTTTATTGAATATTTTTGTAATAAGTTTTATCAAAATCGGACCTTTGCTTTTCGCATATTGCTTTTAAAATGAATTTACTAATTAAACACACAAATTTTCATTCAAACTTATATCCCATAGCAATATTAACACTTGAGGATATAGATTTATGATGTAAGATGAAGTACATTGCAGTATAATAATAATCCCTGGAAACTACATTATAGATCAGGACTATGATAGCCTTATATGTCCCTCTGTGATTAAGTGAGCTATTGTGCCGAAAAATAATTTTAAAAAACAAGAGTTTCATCATTTATTATCAATAGTCGGATGTAATCATTGAAATCTATATGGAAAGATTTAATAAAATAAAAACTAACTCTCATCTGTAAACAAAGATAAATTGTGTTATTATTGTAGTGCATAGAACTTTCTCGAAGATAATGTAAAACACAAAGATCAGTTAGTTGCACTTAAGAATTCAAGGCGGGTGTTTTAAAATTTTATAAAAAATAAAGTGTTATTGTTCACTCTCACTGGATAATATAATAATAATAAATATCTTGTGATCATAAGGATGGACAGAAATTTAAATGAGACTTTAAAATTTCTTCATAATAAAGGTAAGATTTCAAATATTTTATATGCATAAATAAATATAAATAAATAAATATGTTAGGACATTAACACACAGCGCCGTCTAGTTCCATGGTAAGTTGTGAGGGCTTGTGTTATGGATTCTAGATAGTTGATACACTACACATTATATAACTAAATACATACATATAATCAATATAAACACACTGGAATACAAACATACGCGTTCATCACTCAAATGCCCCCAGCGGGATTCAAACGCGCGACCGCTGGCACAGCAAGTACACTTACAAACTGAGCCAAACGTGTCGTCGCTAACAGTAAAAAATGTAAAGTTGGCGCTTGTAAACTCTTGTCTATTATAATAATATAATTGGAAAATAAACTATTATTCCGATTAATTTCGATGCATTTGCGTGTGTCTTTCTTATTA